TCTTCTCCCCTCTCCCCATCGCCCATCCCTCTCCCTCGACTGACCGATGAACAAATCCCATGGAGTGTATGGCGTCCAGTGCCAGCACCACTTCAGCACAGTAGAACTTGGCCCACTTCTCTGGCACGTCGTAGTTGCTCATCAGGTTGACCAGGTCGCCCCCGGGCATGTAGTCCATCACCATGTACAGGAACTTGTTGTTTTGGAATGCAAAGTGCAGCTGTGGACCAAGAGTTTTGTTTTAGTAAGATTTAGTTTTAGTTTTAGTAGAGGTTGTTTGTTTTTTGTTTGTTTTGTGGGGGGTTTTTTGGTAGAGGTTTTACGGCGCTTGCATCTGTATAAAGTCATATGAGCGCCAGAAGACTAGAGGTGTTACAAGAGAGGAACAAACATAAAAAAGAAGAAGGGGAGATAAGGGCGATAGATATTTGATAGGAAAGAAAGAGCAAACCACACCAGAGCACCCGCCAACCACCCACTTAGTAAGGTTTTACAGCGCTCACAGCTGCATAAGGTCATATGAGCGCCAAGGGATGGATGTCAACAGAGAAGTCAAAACGGAGAATCGGGCTTACTCTGCTCACCTCTCTAGCCTCAACAGCAAAAATTCTGCTTCGACTATCAAAGCACACCGGAAATGGAGGGTCACAAGAGAGTGACAAACATACTAAAGAAGTAGAGGAAAATGACGACAGTAAGGATGAGGAAAGAAAAAGCAGCAGTTCTCCCATGAGGTTTCTGCACAGTATGAGCAGGATATTGATAAATCAGCCCATTTACAATTCAAACAACAATCAGATAGAAGAACCAGAACGCCCTGCAAAGCTTGTGTCAAACTGACACGTCTATTTACCTGAACAATCCACTCGCTGTTGGCATTGGCCATAATTTCTCTTTCCTCCCAGTAATAAGCCGAGTCTGATCTCTTGATCTGAAAGAAAAAAAGAAACCAAAAAAAATAAGAATATGTCAAACAAAAAACAAAAAATACCAAACTTTCTGCTAACATGAAGAACATAAACTACATGGCAATTATAAGGAGATTCCTCTAACCATCTCCGAGCAGACACAAGTTATGTGTAAACTTTTAGCTAATTATGAACCACACGTTTCTGCTACAGGAGAGGGAAAGCAAAACCCTTAGAGAAAGGTCATGTGCGTGCCCAAGATTAGAGGTGTCACTAGAGAGTGATATACAAAGAAAAGAAGGAGGAGAGATACGAATGATACATAATGTTTAAAAGGAAAAAAGAAGCAAACATTACAAGAGCTTCCACAACACGACCCATAAAAATAAAACCCCTACCTGCTCTGAAAGTTGCCACAAAGATTTCAAAAACGATCCCCCACCCCTTCCACATACACACACTGACACATTAACACATACATATTAATTAACAAACACAAACCCCATACGTACAGATGAGCACAAATATTACTCCAATCCCCCC